TCTATTTTCTGTTTTTGAATGAAATTGGACCAGCTTGTCTGACTCTATGATGATAAATTGGAATTAAACGAGTGAAAAATCATACGTCTAGTGAGCTGGTAGAATAATTTGATTTTTTATAACTTTCGTCAATCGTAAATTACGTTTTTTGTGAATTTTGATCTGTTTTTTGAATTTTCCCGAAAACTCAGACCCGTTGGGCCAAATCTGAAGGCAGTTCGGATTCAGCGAAAAAAAAACATGTAAATACATGGGTCTGAATACCAGATCCGATACTTTTTTTCCTTCACTGATGTACTATCAAAATTTCATGACATTTAGACGAATAGAAGCAGAGCTATTGCATCTGAAGTAACAGTATCTAAAAATGTCAGTATACACAACTGTATCTTCCACAAAGACTTTCACAAACTTTTGCACAACCGTTTAACAAGTTTATACAACATCCTGCGTCTACTCACCATTTCCAATTGTTACTAACTACTTTTACCGACAGAAAATAAATACGATCTCCTTTTGTTTAATTAATTAATCGCAAATATCGAATCGATGAATGGATTTTAACGTGATTAGCGAAGAAATCTAATTTGAGGAAACGTTCAACCGTGAAAATGTCGAGTTGAATTCTTTCCACTTCTACGAAGAAACTTTTTCTGTAAATCTCAGATTTGACCCACGGACAGGTGTATATCTCTAAACGCGGGTATAATTATTGATACTTCCATATTTTTTTAAATTTTCGATGAAGTAACTCTACGAGGACAATTGATTGGTAATTACAGCGGTACTTAATTCAGCAGAAAAAATGACTTTCGACATCTGTCACTGCTCATCTGGCACGATGATGACCACCAATACAGATTATATCTTAATTGCCAACTAAGATGACGTGAGAAATATACGGGTAGGGCTGGTATAGTAGGGACTTCAGTTTAAGAGCACAGGGCGTTAAAAATACTCCAAGATGTGGAATAAGAACTTCAATTTGTATCAAGGAATCAAATAACAATATTGTGTATGCCAAATAAAGCGAAGATATTTATATTCCCTTTATCGAACTAGGTAAATCGAAAAAAGTTCAAAGAAAAAAATAAATACTTATTCCGATTTTTGTTTGCTTAAATCATCGCCACGTTTTTTTAGGTCTATTGTTACTAAAAGCAGCAGCAGAGGCAAGAAAAAATAAATACGAGGTATCAAAAATGCGTACAAAAGTACGAACTCTGTAGTTGTAATACAGCGGGACAAAAATAACAGCAAAATCCGTAAATAAACCACAAATATGCAAATATTTGGTATACCTAGTCATATTTTTTTAATTATTATTCATACAATGAGTAACGTTAATTAATACCAAAGACAGTTCAACCAGATTTATGTTTTCTTAAACGAAAATAAATTATCTGGAAATCCCTTACATTGATGAAATATTATCTCCCATTTAATTTTTGATGTTAAGAAAAAGATTACCTTTTCGACAATATAAAAAAATTGAAATTTACCGACACGATTAAGTTTACGTCTGAGATGGCTCCGCCCACAAATGCACAATGGCCACGGCGGTAGAATCGCTTCAGGAGTATATTTATCGTCCATATCCCTAACTAATCCCCTAATTATTACTGACGCATATGCCCGAACACAACTACATAATGCTGCCAATTTGTGGATTTTTTCCCTAGTTCTAGGGATATTTTTTAAACGAAAATAAAAGACTGAGACAAGTATTCAACAGACATGTATGACACTTCTGAGTTTGGAGTGGTTGTTTGGAGTAGTTTTGGCAACAATGGATGAAATATTTATGTAAAAAGGGATAAAGAGCGGAAAATTCAGTTATTTTTCAATATGCTCACATTGTTAATTCTGTTCAATTTAAAAAATATTTTATAGAATAAGTACCACAAATATACAGGGTGGTCCCGAGGTAATGGGCCAAAATTCATGAGTAGAATCCCCAAGCAAAAATATTGCGATATAGCCGAACTTGCCTTAGTCCAAAAGTTGATAGTTAAAGAGATCCAGGGTGTTATATGTAAAATATTATTCCAGTTTTTTTTTTCATTTATTCCTTAACAAATGCAAATATCCTCACAAATTTTTAGGGTTTTGAGTTCTTTGGGTAGAGGAATTGAAATCTGTTCACATTTTGGTTAAAGGGCGCTAGCTGCAATAGATTGAATGTGTTAAAAACGACATAACTTTTTTGTACTTTAAGGTATCTCACCTTTGGTATCAAATTCTTATTTTCCAACTTTTTTTTTACAAAAAAAAAGGTAAACTTTATGAAAGTAGCTACCTCGCACCGTTTTCGAGATATTTGTCTTATTGCTGTAATTTGTATGCTAATTTCTATTAAGTATTATTCGTACCTAATTAAAATTACATCTTAGCTTACAATTTAAATTGTATACTCGTATACATAAATGTGGGATAGAATGCCGAGATTTTCGTTTTTGGAGTTACATGAATTCACTTGTTTATGGAGAAACTATAAACACCTGAGAAGAACTTTAGCAGCAGATTTTAAATGCTGCAAAGTCATTTCGCGTTAAGGATTTATACTTTAAAATAAGACAATTTTTTAATAAGTGCGTTGATAAATGTATTGAACTTAGAGGTGGACATTTTGAGCAATTATTGTCAAAAAGGCATATTTTTTTAATAATGTTTACTATTTTACTGTTCATTACAATTTTTTATTCTAAATAAACCCTTGTTTTTGACATTTCTAAATTATTTTCATTATTTCAACTATTAGCATTGGCAGTTTCAAAGCCAAATATATCGGAAACAGTGCGAGACAGCTACTTTCATAAAGTCTACCTTTTTTGTGTAAAAAAAGTTAGAAAATAAGAATTTGATACCAAAGATGATGTCTGTCGTGATGTTATGTCGTTTCCAACACATTCAATCTACGGCAGCTGGCGCCTTCTATGAACTATAACCAAAATGTGAACAAATTTCAATTCCTCTACCCAAATAACCCCAAACCCCAAAATTTTGTGTGCATTTATTAAGAAATAAATGAAAATAAACTAAAATAATATTTTACATTTAACACCCTGTATCTCTTTAACTATCAACTTTTGGACTAAGGTAAGTTCGGCTAAATCGCAATATTTTTACTTGGGGAATCTACCCATGAATTTTGGCCCATTACGTCG